AGTCCTCTCCGGCTTCGACGTCCAAGAAATCCAAATCCAACAACACCAACTCGGGAACCTTCTCCTTCTCCTTCTCGTCCTCTCTCTCCCCGGCGTCTGGAGTCAAGTTACGCCCCACGTCGTTCACCCTTCCTCGCTCATCCTCGTCGAATACGCGATCTCGTCGCGCCGCCTCGGAGCAGCAGCACTCTACCATGTCGCGCACGCGCCAACTCACCATCGCTTCGCCCACTCCCCGCCACGCGACTCCCATTTTCGACGCGATGCACACGATTGAGCTGGCTGCGGAGGGCTCGAATGCTGGCCAAGGCTCAACGCAAACGACCACCGATCACCCCGCAGCTGCGAGTGGTTCTGGCGCTAGTGCCAGCAACTCGAGCAAGAAGTCCAAATTGCTGGGTAGCAGCAGGCGTCATTCCTCCGACGTCCGCGCGGGGACTGAGGGCCGGGACGCAGGTGCTGCTGCTAGCCCGAGTATGGATGCAAATGGTCGTCGCGACCGCGAACGACGTCGGGCCTCGGCTTCTACGTTACCTCTGCAGTCAAAGTCGAAGAGCGAAGGGGGATCCAAACCGAAAGCAGAGGCAGAATCGATGTCGAAAATACCCCCTATACCGCCCAAGCAAATCTAGTCGTCGGCCAGGACACTTTCGTTTTAAGGGATAGTTTACTTACTACTTATGCGAATGTTTCGTATGTTTGTACACCAGTATGCTTTATGCAAGCGATATATTGTTACTGTGCCATAGCTCAAATTGGAGTCGCTCAATGTAACAAGCCGGCCGCGGCTAATACATGCTCTACTTGTATGGATACGACGCGCTCTTCTTATGCTTCTTCTTCGCGTTTACGGCCAAGGAGAAGAACCGTAACGCGAAGCGTCGAAGTAGTCCATTGGTTGAGCATCTTCGTCGACGCTTCTGGGCCACCTGGTCACGAGCCTCTCGTTCTGTTGCTGAGTAGGCAAGTCACGGCTACCCTGGACCTGCACCAGTTTACTACCGTGAGACTAGAAGGTACATATGAGTGGAGCGCAGGGCGGATGATGTTTAGGACTCACCAGGGTCTCGACTCTGAATCGCCCGGCTGATGACGGTCTTGACTACAACCAAAGTGAGAGCATCGAAGCTAGCTAGCGCGCTCCGTTCAGTCAGGGCCGTGGGCCAGGAAGAAGTAGATGAGGTGTGGCAAATGTAAATGGTACTCTGGGCCTCTGGCTGGCGTCCGAGAGATGATGCATCACCGCCAGAACGCTCTCGACTCGGAATGCGCGCGAAAGCAGCAAGAGAACCGTCTTCAAGGCTTCACAGCGACGAGCTCGAAGGGAGCGCTTTACGACGCTTTACTAATAGAAGGTCTCGTCGATTCTGCGGGGAAGTGCGTCGAACGGTAGTTCACCTCGAGTGCGTTGTGGATCTGGCGTACGCTCGTCGACAAGTTTTGACGTTTCCGATTATGACCAAGTGTCCGCCGAAGCCAGTCGAGGGGTTTGGAGACGAAGTAACCACCGTGCTACGAAGCTGAATCGGCTCGGCGAGCTTTGAGAGTCATGGAAGAGCCTGAGAAACGGTGCTAGATCCATGTAGTCTAGCAGGTGGCAAGTGAGTCCCACATCTTGAGAATGTTGGTGAACAACGCTCGTCTTGAGCAATGCGGGGAAATTGGCGCGGGTTCAGACGCGCTTTGATCCGGTGATGAGCAGTATCCGCATTTGGGGTCGGCCCGCATCCAACTTCCATCCATGGCCAACTCAACTCAATCGATCCCAGTCGCTGTGAAACCTCTGTTCAGCGCCAAGGCTTCAGCTGTGGTTCAATCCCGAATCCTCAGCTTGAATACTCATGTGGGTTCACCGCGGCAGAATGCGCCAACTTCTCTCAGTCGGCGCCCTCGGGCCTCGACGCTCGTCTCGTCGCCCGGGAAACTTTTTGAAGTGGGCACAATCGCCAGTACCCATTGCTGCGGTCCAGCTTTCTTATCTCCGTATGGCCTTGGCGCGCAAGCCGGCTGCGTTACCGCTGGAATCATCTGCGGCCCGCTCCGACGGTGTTGCGTCGGTGACAGCCTGGTGATAGTTCACTTAATAGACGCGCTTTGGATGGGCCCAGAGTAACTTCCCTCACTTTCCTTCTGCATTACTGGTATGGGTGGTGTCACTGTTCTGCCGTTCTCGCCGTATGGCTATACGCCGACGGAGTACGTCTGCATTATCTTTGTCGTTCTCTTCTCCATCTCGACTTGTGCGTGATGTCTTTTTTCGTCGTCGCGATATTCATTCTGTCTCTAGTGCTACATACGGGACAGGCTATTACTTACCGTCTGTGGTGGCTCTTCCCCTCCGCCATCTTTGCCGGTGCGATAGAGGTTGTCGGATGGGCAGCGCGTCTTTGGTCTTCGATCGCTCCGCACCAGGTGCACCCGTTCGAGATTCAGTGCGTGTTGGAATTGAACTGGAGCATCTAACCGAATTAACGACAGGTTGATAACAACGCTCTGCGGACCGACTCCGCTCGCTGCCGCTAACTTCACCATCCTTGGTGGTGTCATAACGCGCTTAGGTCCTCAGTATAGTCGGCTTGGTCCCAGAAGATGTGAGTTTTTTTTGGGGGTCCCTTGTGGTCGCTCACAACTAGCAGACACGACAATCTTCCTCTGCTGCGATATCCTCGCGCTTTTTGTGCAAGGAATTGGCGGGGGTATCGCAGCCCACGCTGTGACAACATCCAAGTCGCCCAAGACAGTAGGTCCTGTTTTACCTCGGTACCCGATGCTCACTACTCGTAGGGTAGCCACATCATGCTCCTCGGAATCATTCTGCAACTCGTCACTATCGCCGTCTATGTGCTCTGCGCGGCCGAATTTCTCTACCGGTATATGCACGATCTCCCACTCGCCAAACACGCAGGCTTTGCCTCTTCCCGCGGCGCACTCACCCCGCGCATGCGGGTCCTGCTCTACGGCATGTCGTTCAACACGCTGTGCTTGCTCACCCGTGCAGTATATCGTGTTGTCGAACTGGCGGACGGGTTCAAGGGGCGGATTGAGCAGACCGAAGTATATTTCAGTGCGTTTTGTTTTCTGCTTCTCTGCTCTAAAGCTAAGCGCTTAGATGTGCTCGACGGTTTGATGATCGTCCTTGCGATCATTACGCTGAACTTTACGCATCCTGGTTTCTTGATGTATGGGGTATCTCCAGAGCGGCACGTAGAGATTGAGCTCGGGGTGGGGTCCAGCAAGGGAAGGGAACAGAAGCGGAGAAGCCGTGATATTTAGACCAGCCGCTGTAACAATCCCGTTCGTTTGACCTTTTCTTCATGGTCAACACCCAAAATCAAATACTCTCGAAGAAAATCACATCTTCCTTGCATTGGAAGATTCCCGCTACCTTTAGGTAACGGGTCTTATATTGCATGATTTTCAGCTTTTTGCAGGCCATCAGTCAAATGTCAATTCATATCGCGTCAGCTCCACGGAGCCTCACACGCTGTCCCGGGCCGGACTTTCTGCTCTTGCCCTCATCTTGTTGTCCGCTACGTTTCTGTTCACTGGACAGAAGAACAGAATCCGCAAAATCACTGGCACAGCTAATCCGGAAAGCAGCAACCCGAAACTTCCGCGCCATCGGCCAATGCGTTGAAGCATTGTGTCTTACTTACGCAGCAAGTTGTGTCTCATCCACCCACCACAAACGGCTATCCTATCCTACGCAGGGCAGCCGGAAACATGCTCGCGCCACGAGGGCTTGATCGACGCATGGTATCGGCGTCCTAGTCTTCACCTTGAATCTTTTTTTTTTACAATTTTCGAAACATTTGGCGGTAGATGCCTCCTCGCTGAGCGTGTGGCGGGAAACAAGTTCCTGTCAGTGCATACTTCGTTGCTTGTTCGTTGCACAGTGGGAGATTGGTACTTGCCTTGGCCACAAGACCCTTTCGTGGCATCCGGGACCACTGGCACCGCAACGAAACGTTGACCTATCGCGCCGTTCCGCCCTCAGGCTGGTGCCCTGGTTTCCGATTCGCGCTCTGCGGACGTATGTCACGGCTGACATGCAACGAGCTTGGTACCTCACTACCTGCTCTGCTCTCTGTTTCTCGTCAAATCACAGGTTGAGCACGCTAGAAGCTTCCCATCCTGGATCGTGAGGATGCCCCTGCCCTGCTTCGGATACCGACCGTGGCGTCAGCGTACTCTTTGCCTTTTAATCGGGTTCTGGAGATGCGGATTTTGACACCCTCCCGCGCCATTCCGAGTCGCCTTCTTGGCCGAAAGCATGGCTTGGATGCTCTTAGGCCTGAAAAATGAATACACCTTGTTCATTTTAGTACGCCTGGAAATTCATATGATATTTGTGGGAGACTGCGAATCACTGGTAGCGGGCATTGCCGCTCGTCGGCCTTACAGCTTTATACTTTAGACACCAGATCGCTGTTTACTGGAACACTTCACATTACCCAGGTGATGATATATCCTGCACAACATACCCACCATGGACATTAGGAACATTGCCATTTGGTGTGTATGTGCCTCAAGAGGGTTTTATTATACTTGTGTGGTCCACAACATGAACAATGAGTTTACCAAAGACAAACAGTGTATGTACGATAGGGTGGAGTTCTTCATGTGTTCACTTGTCTCTCGATGTTAGTGGGGGGGGGGGGGGGGGGGGGGAAACACAAGATGATTATGTGTTAAGTGCATGCCAAATCAAGAGCAAGAGTTGTCGAAGGCCAATGAAAGTCCGACGGGGTAAGACTATAATGAATCAGAGCAGTCGTTGCGTAAACGCTACACAGTGGTAAACATTCTTTCTCCCATTCTCAAGCTTACTTACTCATTTATCCAACTTACAAGTTGTACATCTAATACAGTCATAGCGGCAATCCACTTACAGTCGAAGCTCCCTCAAGTCAAAACTCTTTAAAGTTGAACTTCGCTAGTTTTCTTTGACCTTTTAGGACCTCTCATGATACCAGGATTCTTCTGTACCTCTTTCCATCGGTTCGATGGTGTAGTTGGTTATCACTTCTGTCTAACAGGACGGCCAAATCGGCTTCCCTTGTGCACAGGCGGTCCTCAGTTCGAACCTGGGTCGAATCAGTTTTGCCTCTTGCGCCTTCTTTTGTTTTCTCCGCTGCTTCCAGAGATAACGCTGACATCTACGTGCTCTACCTCGTCGTAGATGCAATGTCGTTCAGTGTGCTGGAGGCCTTTTTGACGTGGCTGAGGGCAGGCTGAGGGTTGGGAGAGCGGGAGGAGGAGGTTGTGTTGTGAATCAACTTTGATCCAACAAGCAAACCATACGCATAATTTCAGGCGCAGAACATAATTTCTGAAGTTCATTATTCCCTCGAAACGATCCTAATAATTGTGTTGGATTGTGCGCAGGTGTTGCTCATTTTGAAGTTGAAGGGCCGAATGAGGCGTTGCCGTTCATCGTCGCCTGCATCAACAGTGCTTAGGTCCTCCGGTATTGTTCAACCTCGGTCGATGGTTATGAACAGCCGGAATACGCGTTGTTTCTCAAAAGGACTATCCTCGGTGTGGCTCAAGCTTCAGTGCTTCAGTTCTCGTCAGCGAACGTGAGCCATCGACTAGTAACTGCTGATTACTGTACGCAGTTGCAGTTGCAGTACATGTGTGTCGAATAATTTCTGGCTGACAATAGTAACCACTGTTCGCAGTCCTGCATCCCGTCCAAGAAGCATTCGACGCGTCTCAATCGGCGAGCTGTGATTGGTTGATCGACGTGTCACGGAGATCAATTTTGCTAAGCGCCTCTTTCGACTCCACCACCATGTCCACGCCGGCCTCTGTTCCCCTCCCACGTCCCGCCGCCGCAGAATCTACCACGAAGCCGCCGGTGTGGGCCCTCGACTCTGTTGCCCCCGAGTCTGCGCCGATTCCAGCGTCTGCTCGGTGTTCGCGCCATGTTCGCCCCGACGGTGTTTGCTGCAAGGAGCTCAAAGGCGAGGAGCGCACGCTCATCGACCCGGACGTTGTCCGTGATGTGTGCGTGCATTTTCCTAAAATTCCTGTGGAGTTTTTTGTCGGCTTACTCAGTACAGCGTCATCGGTCTCTCTGACGGACTCACTGTGCCGTTCGCTCTCGCCGCAGGCCTCTCTTCACTCGGCGAATCCCGACTCGTCGTTCTTGGGGGCGTTGCAGAGCTCATTGCCGGTGCGATTTCGATGGGTATTGGCGGGTTCCTGGCGTCTCAGTCGGAGCGGGACCACTACCGATTTCTGCGGGACACCACGGCGGCCCGTGTCGTCCGCAGCTGTGATGGCGAGATGGAGCGCGAAGTCGCAGACGTACTGGCCCCTATTGGCGTCGACGAGCGCACCTGCAGACAAGTCGCCCGGTGTCTCCGCGACGCTGAACTCCCGAGTGGCAGCACCGCGACAAGTCTGACACACCACGACCTCGAGTCGAACGAGTCGCTGCGCTGGAGCAAACAAGTCGGGCTTACGCCGTTCTTACTCAAGTTTGGTGCCGGGCTCGAAGAAGTGCCGACGAGCAGGCTGTACATTTCTGCATTCACTATCGGCGCGGGGTACCTCATCGGCGGCATCATCCCCTTGATTCCGTACTTCTTCATCCCTCGGGCACATGTCGCGCTCATCTGGAGCGCGGTCATTACTGGCGTGGTGTTGCTCGTCTTTGGCGCGGTCAAGGCGCAGGTGACGGGTGCCGCTGTTGGTGCGAAGGGTTATGTCTGGGGTGCCGTCAGTACATTGATGGTTGGTGGGGTAGCGGCTGCAGCGGCGTTTGGCATCGTAAAGGCGTTGGAGGGTGGGGCTGAGTGAGTGTCGGGCTTGCAACAAGTATGTTACGGGGTATATAATTTGTACTGTATGTTAGATCTCCATGCATGTCTTTTGCAGTATTATCTTATCTGGTGGATGAAAATATCGATACACGAAAGAAAAAGAAATACAGAGCTCATTACTCTCATCTCCTCGACACGACCGACTCGTCCAGGTCTTGTGTCCCCATGCGACGCGAACTAGCACGCGTCTGAATGCGACTGGCGGGCGGACTGGCATCGCGTGGAGGTGTAGATGCAGTCAAAGGCGGCGTACCTCTACGTTCTGCGAGACCAGAACCGATTCGCTGCCGTTCGCGCTCGCGGCGGGGGGTAGTAGGCGCTGCGGTAACCTCACCAGCCTCTTTATCCTTTGGGACAGGCGTGCCCATCCTACCACCGCCGTCGAGTCCCGCAGACACCGGTGGTTGGGATTGCTGCTCAGCGGACGACCATCTGGGCCACCACCAACTCCCGAGGTGTTGTCGTGCCTGCTGCTCGTGTAGTGCCCGTCGGCGCTCAAAGTTGGCCCGGTAGCGCTCGTAGCCGTCGCGAAACGCGCGGTCGACGCGGGAGGAGAAGCGCAGCTCACCGCGGGGATTGGTCGTTGGCGGCATCGGCGGGATGGGCACGGGGGCGTTTGGGATGTGAATGAGGGTCGTGGTGGACGAGCCTGGGCCGAGCTTGGTGCTCAAACTAGACGTGCGTGAGTGGGAGGGTGTCGACGACGGAGTGGGTGTGTCCTCAACGGGACGCGCGAAGAAGAACCCGAGCGGGTTGAGCTGGATTTTGCTCCGAAGTGGGGGTTGTCGGACGTTGAGGTACATGTTGAACGAGCGCAGGGCGCGGTTCGCGTGTGGGACGTATCTGCAAACTCACAATAAGTCGGAGTTCATAAAGTAGTAGTGCAAGACGCAACTTGTTTGCATAGGCGATCTTGTCCGCGTAGGTCCCGCTCGCAAAGAAGAGGACGAGGGTGGTGACGGTGACGAAGAGCAGCCCGGTGGAGAAGTATGGGTGAATGCGGACCTCGGTGTCGGGCGTGTAGATGTCCGGGAGGATGCGCTGCAGCACGAGCTTGCATGGGATCGCGATGAGGGAGATGTCTGGGGGAAGAAGGACCTCGACCAGCAGGAAGGCGATCACAAAGAGCAGTTGGACGAGGAATACTATGGGGGTATGGGGTAAATACAGTGCAAAGACAGGCGAAAGACGCACCCTGGTAGCGCGCCTTTCGTCGTTGGAGACTGGCCGCCGTGGACTTGAGTCGCTCTTCGAAGAGAAGGAGGTCGCGGTAGGTGGCGACGTCGTTTTGGGGGTATCCGGATGACTTTGGTGAGGGCGTAGACCGGGAAGGGGTCGACCGCGGGGGCATAGACGCGTTGACGGGAAGAAGGTGATTTGGGGACACGTGCAAAGGCCGGAACACCGACCTGAGCCAGGACCCCCCGTCCTGGAAATTCGGACAAATTTCGAGCCCGCTCGGCGCGACGTCATGTAAGAATTCGGACATCCAAGGGGGTCGGCGCCAAAGTCATGTCGAAGTTCGGACATGGTCTCGTTATACTGCGTGGTTGAGCTGGTTTGAACACTCAAATTTAAACTCCCATATTCGGATGCTGGAATGACTCCTTCGAGGCTGCAAGGCTTTTCGGGATGCAATCGAAGCTACCTCGAGGCATCTAGGAACTTTCCAGATTTTTTTCGCGATTTTTATGCCAATTTTGGCAATTTTACGCCCACTTACCGCTGAGGTTGTGTCGGACAAAATTTTGGCGCGATTCAGGCACGAAATTCGGACAAGATTTCGGACCCCGGCGATTTTCCAGGATGACCTCTGAGCCTATATTCGGGGGTCCTCCTGAGCGGCGGAATATTAGGATCCAACATGATGTGTTTCAATAGTATGATAGTTTGGGTGCAGCACTACAATTAATCCACTATCCTCAACACGCCCTTCCCCACAAGGACGGGCATGCACGACCGTATCAGCTCCTCCGAATGCGGGTCCAAATGGAAGTCAGAGCCAGTGTGAATGCACACCACCTTCAACGCCGGAAGGTCACCTCCCAGTAACAGGTCGAGCTCCGTCCACTCCGCCAGCGTTGCCTTCTGTGTGACGGTAATGGCCACGGTATGCAGTCTGACCAGATGCCGCAGGGATCCGAAGTTTCGGACTACGGGAATGAGATAGACCAGGAGCGGCAGTTGGATGTCGAGTGTGAGGAGCTGAGCTGCCCCGGTGAAGACGTCTGCGGGCGCGTTGTTTTCCAGAAACCTCCCTAAAAGCCGGTTTGAATGCGAATTGTAGACTCTGAGCGAAGTACCTGGGGAAAAAAGTCCTCGTAGCTCGAGCGTCTCGAGTGTTGACGCGTTGGCCGCGAGCAGCGAGTTCATCGGTGTGTCGTGCAGGCACAGCGATCGCAACTTCGTCAGGTCCACGCGTTTGAACGTCTCCAGCAGCTCCTGGACAGTTTCCGAATCGAGGAACCACAGAACCAATCTTTCCAGCACGACAACGGGCTGTATTTGTGTTTCTTCTGCAGGTGTCCGAGTCGTTATCTGTGAGAACCCCGTCGAGCGCAATTCGAGTGTCTTAAGGCCCTTGCTTCGACAAAGGATATTCTCCAATTGCCTTGCATTTCCCAAAACGAAATTCCGCAACATAACACGCCCAAGACTTGCCTGAGCCAAACTATCCTGCAGCATCACAGCAAACGCCGGCGTCGACGTCACCGTCGGCCGCCCGGGAAGCGAGGTCTGGAGGTTGATGTCTAACCGCATGAGGTTTATGCTCAGCTGGAGCACCTGGCGAATCGACACGAGTTCGTTGGGTCCCAACGACGTCTCGACGTATACCGCACGGATGTAGCTAGCGACATGGGGGCTACCTTCGAGGAGGGATGCAAAGCGGGTAGCGTTGTAGCGGAGTCTGACGGCGTGAAAGATGTATCGCTGGCATGGGCGAACGAAAGTACGGGCGACGAGAGCGCAGGCTCTGAGGGTTCGGAGGACGGGCCAGGAGGGTCCTACTACGTGTAGTATCCAGGGATCCTCGGGGAGGTCGACTGGTGAGACGATGGCGTCGACTACCGCGTCGATGAGTTCCTGTGGGAGCATGAATAGATTTCGAGCCATGGAAGTGTTGTGTCAAGACGCGTGACTGTCACAGGCTCAGTTTCAACTTGCATTCAACCATGTCGCGGTCAGTCGAGGGTAGTGCTCTTTCAGTCCCAAAGGAAACCGACTTGTATATCGCCGATCAGTGGCCTGAAGCTACTGAAGAGGAGA